CCTTCTTTAATACACAAGCATTAGATGGTAAGGGGCTTACATTATTTTAAGCCTACAGTGGTTCATCCAGAGGAAAATCCCATTTCATGGACAATACATGGCTCCAATAACAGGGCCAACTTCTCCATTAGGCATAGAATTCAGTGCCTTGGGTCCACAGTACTTCTAGGGGTTCAAGAAAACGTTTTAATTTCTTTTAAAATCATAAGAAATGTTTTAATTTCTTTTTGTTGAACAAAGTATTGTAGCATATAGTATTAATATATTCATCTTTATACCAACACAGTCATAAAATACAATTTTAAATACTTTAGGCAAATGTGCCCAGGGCCTAAGAAAGTCATAAAGTCATATCAGGTCCTGCCTGATAGCATCTTCTTAAAAATTAGTCACGCAGGCAGAGTTTAGGTGGCTCATCCCTGTCCTGCCCTACGGGCTAATTTTTCCTCCTAATGGTAGATGAGCATACCATCTTCATTTGGAAAAAGAGTACACACCAGTAAGTTAACAATCCCCCAAATGCTAATTTAAAATGTAAATAAAAATGGAATTCAAATGATGTTTATTGGGAATTCCCTGGCAATCAGTGGTTAGAACTCCATGCTTCCACTGCAGGGGGCCACAGGTTCAATCCTGGTTGGGGAACTAAGATCCCACATGCCGCGAGGTGCAGCCAAAAAAGAAAAAACAACAACAACAACAAAAAACACCATTTATTTCCAGGCATTTGCCAGGTACTAGGGGGTATAGGGATAAACAAAATGAACTTACAGTTTCTAGCATATAAGAGAATACAGATGGTTAACAAATTATTATAATTGGGAGAATGGCACACAAATAGAAGTATAGTAGCAAGGCTGAGCTAATTCTTAGTTGCAAAATAGGTATTGTTATTTTTAGTTGTACAAATGAGAAAACCAAGACATAGAACAATTGAGTGGCTCATCCCAAGCCTCAGCCAATATACATCAGGGGCAGTATTTGAATACCAAGACTCTGACTCCAAGTCCTGTGCAGTTTACCATCTGGTCTGAAACAGTGCTCATTCTGTAGTAGACACTCAATAAATTAGACTGGATTCAAATGAGGGAGAAACGTTGCCACTCCAGAGGATTTTACCTTTCTCTTAGAGCAGCTTTTTAATCTTTCCTCCCCAACCCCCAGCTTTATTAAGGTATATTTTACTTATCATAGAATATACCCAATTCAAGTGTACAGTTCAATGATTTCTAGTAACTTGACCAAGTGGTGCAACCATCACCATAAATCAGCTTTAGAACATTTTTGTCCCCCAGCAAGAAACCTCATGCCCACTTTCAGTTAATTTTCATTCCCACCCCTTGCCCCAGGCAACCACTATTCTATTTCCTGTCTCTATAAATTTGCTTTTTCTGGACATTTCATATAAATGAAATCATATAATATGTGGTCTCTTCTGCCTAGTTTCTTTCACTTAGCATAATGTTTTTGTTTCGTTCTGTTTTTTGGCCATAGCTTGAGGCATGTGGGATCTTAGTTCCTCGATCAGGGATTGAACCCAAACCCCCTGCGGTGGAATCTCGGAGTTTCAACCACTGGGCTGCCAGGGAATTCCCAGCATAAAGTTTTTGAAGTTCATTCATGGTGTAGCATGTGTCAATAGTTTGTTCCTTATTATTGCTGCATGGTATTCCATTGTATGGATACACAATTTTGTCTATCCATTCACGAGTAGATTGACATTTAGGTTGTTTTCCAGTTTTCGACTGTAATGAATAATGCTGCTATATGAACATTTGTATATAAGTTTTTGTGAGGACACATGCCTTTATTTCTCCTGGGGAGATAGAATTAATATCTTATTATGGTTTTGATTTGTATTTCCCTAACAGCTAATGATGTTGAGCATCTTTTCATGTGATTATTGGCCATTTGTGTATGTTCTCTGAAGAAATCTCTATTCCACATCTTTTGCCCATGTTTTGATTGGATGGTCATCTTATGACTGAGCTGTAAGAGTTCTTTGTAAATTCTGGATACAAATCCTTTATTAAATATGTGTTTTGCAAGTATATTTCTAGTCCATCATTGTCTTTTCATTTTCTTAATGTTGCTTTTTGAAGTGTAAAAGTTTTGAATTTTGATGAGGTCAATGAAATTCACTGACAAAAAGACAGTCTGTTCAATAGATGGTGCTGGGACAATTGGATATCCACATGCAAAAAGATGAATTTAGATGCTCACCTCACACCACACACAAAAATTAACTCAACATGACTCACAGACTTTAATGCAAGAGATAAAACAATAAAACTTTTAGACAAAAAACGTGGAAGAGAAACTTTCAAGATCTTGGGTTAGGCAAAGGTTTTTTTCATCTATTCCTTTTTTCTTTTTCCCTTTTTTTTTTTTTGTCCATGCCACGCAGCTTCTGGGATCTTAGTTCCCTGACCAGGGATTGAACCTGGGCCCTCGACAGTGAAAGTGCAGAGTCCCAACCACTGGACCACCAAGGAATTCCCATTTTTTCATTTGTTCTTGAATTCTTGTCCTTATTAAACACAATACATGTACGTGTATATGTTTGTATGTGGTATGTCTGTGTAATGTAGGTAGATAACTATGTAGCCACCTTCAGTCAAAATCATAAAATATTTTACCAGGATTGTTGGCTAAAATTTGAATGATCAATCACACAAATATGTTGAAAGAAAACATGCAAAATATAAATGGCAAGCCAGCTAGAACAGAACATCCAGAGCTTGGCAGTTGGAATGTGAGACAAAGCTGTGCAAAGAGTAAATTAATCCCCTCTTCAAATACTTTGCAACATGTGTACCTACATTTCAGGCTAAGAAATGTTGATTACAGGCAGTCACTGATTGTAGATTAAGAAGGGTACAATCTCCTACAGGAGGGTGAATCTATCTGCTAAGATGCTGCATACTCTAATGTTTGCAATGATATAATAGGCTAAGGTAAAATTCTTACAGTCTATTACTTTCAAAATACATAGGAAAATTATTACTGAAGATTCCATAATTTGTCAAGAAGAAAGTTTTAGACACAAAGCTTTACTTTTAAAGGCACTATCTTCTATTAAATTCTCTGGATTGCACCTAAAATTAGTAGGTAATTTCATGGTCAAATTACCATTCTCACCCCAACAAGGGATACACAAGAATACTGGCATAGCACTTGGCCACTTGTGTCCACTGTGAGTCAGTCAGTGTCTTGCCTGTGTCCCTTCGTGGCAACTAAAGGAGGCTTTGCTAAGCCTGAATCTTGAATTCCTCTATTCAGAGCAATATTCATTTTCAAAATATATTTCTGCATAATCAAAACTGCTTATTAACATTTCATTACTGCTTACTAATATTTCAGTATCTTTTCATTTTTTTCAGGTACAACTGGTTATTTATATATATTCACCTCTCCCTCTTAGAAAAGGTAACATGTTTTATCATTCTTTTATCCCTTATATGAGTGGTTTTTAAGTCATTGGAGCCAGTAGTCAAGTACTGGAACCCTGCCTTACAGCCTCTGACAAGGGTCTGAGAACATAATAAACACTTGGTAAGTTTTTGTTGGAATGAAGTAAATATTCATTACTAATACTGTAGTTTTTAAATTGCATTTCATTAGCCCCAAGTTCTAATGGCAGAAAATATACTACAGAATCAATCAAATTCTAGGAGAGACATCACTGTAATGAAAGCTAACCTTTCAATGCCAAGAGCCCAATACCAATTTTTTCTTTCTTCAATACCTAGTGACATGATGTTCTCTCATTTATTCTAAATGAGAATTTACAATATTCTCTTTCCTCTTAAATTACAGCCTCTATGTAAATCTCTTGAGCAGTTTAAAAGTTAGATTTCTAAAATCCAGGATGAAGTGGATTTAGCTGAGTACAGACACATAGCAAGAAGTGCCCCAGATAAAGTTAGCTTTATTACCACTACAGTTGTTAACATAGTCTAATAATCACTTCCATCTTGAAAATAAGTGCAAACGATTTACCAGCTCATTAAAATTTGACATAAATTTGGAAGAGGATGCTAAGTAGTGAAATGAATAAAGACACCTTTTTTTCCAACTTGTTGTGTTTGAGTGGATACTGGCAAAGCACATATGCTATGAAGTTTGTGGGTAAAGTAGCACTTCTCAAAAAACAAGTGAACTGAAAAAAAAATTCACAAATTCTTTTAAAATACTTTTCTTCTTGCCTAAGATATAACCTAGACTGGTTCTGAGTAATTTTCTCAAATACTATCTGCAGTGATCTTTTCAGTTACAGCCCTCCAGGCTTTCAGCCACCTGGAAACATTAAGTCCCCCTGGAGCCTTATCCTGACCTGAGTTCAGGCCTCTATACTGGAGGAATTTTCAGAAGCTTTAGACTAGTAACTTATCTGCTCAGTATCAGATCAGCCACTCTGCTGATCCAGCTCCGATACTGTAACCTAGTTTCAGGCACTAAAATTTTATCTGGTTATTTGTAACCAAGCTCCTATCTTGTACCACCTGAAACTAGGTCCTAGATTCTTCCGCTGTGATCCTTCGTCCTACTTTGGGACTTTACTTTGTATCCAAGTTGGTGTAATACTCCCTATACCATTGAGCAAGCCTAGTTAGAGCCCTACTGTAGAATTCCAGTCTTCATGAATATGTCCCCAATACATGCCACCTGATGGCTATGATGCAGACTTCTCTCACATCTGTGTTTCTACTTATTGCCTCCTGTCAGACTCCTCTAGAAACAGGCCCTATGCTTGAACTAAATTCCCTACCAACTGTCAGTTCCTTTTTCCATGGCTTGCCTAGCATTGGCAGGGCTGTTGGGATTTTGGGGCCTGCTCCTCCACAGACTGATCCATCTCAATGCTGAGTTCTAATTCTAATAGTAACTCAATACCGCTATTGAAAAATAGGTCTGTTCAAACCAGCCAACAGTAAGTTTAAAATGCCTCATTAAATATACATCTGCCGCTTGAAAGTCCAAAAGAAAATACCCAATACCTGTCTGAATGAATCCTGATTTGTATCCATTAGTTGTGCCATTTTCTGGGGCCACGGTTGATGACACTGAAGAGTTTGGTTTAATAGAGTGGCAAATGGTAGAGGATTGTCGGCTTCTACATTCTAGAAAGAAGTAAGAATCACATTATGTAAGGAAAACAATATTCTGTTAAAACAGGTGAGGGAGACACGATCCATAAAATCTCTAAAATAAACTGCTGTTCCTCAAGTGGCAGCACGTTCTTTAACAGAGATCCCCCTTCCCCAACCTTGACTCCAATAGAATGTTCAAGCTGGTGAACACAATTCGTCTTCCTAGAGCCAAATGTCATGTTTGGAAGGCAAAGAAATAGTTACAAAGAACAATGAGACATTTGTTCCTCACAGACTAGTTCCCAGGAGAAAAATTACTCATAACCTATATAGTCATGTTAGTTTCATGGGTAATACTGAGGTTAAAATATCAATAATTTATAAAAACCAAATAAGCTTTCAAGCACCAGTTAACCTTCTGTCCAGGATTGATTTACGTGTAGAATAGTAATCTAGAGTCCTTCTAGGCTGCCTTCAACCCTCTCTACTCAACCTTAATTTACGTGCAGAAACAGAAGCAAAGAAAATATTATACACAGAGGAGAAAAATTAGAAATTCTCAAATTCTTATTATTCTCAGTTCTTATTAGAGGAAATAGGTAGACAATATTCAAGGTACTTACTGATCATACAAAACTAAGCTTCATTTTAAATGAGCCAATATTACTTGAGGCTTTGGTGTAATATTTTAATAATACTTTGTACTGATTCAGGTAGATAGCAAATACTGTGACAACCTGTGTCACAGGTTTTCAGGGCTCTAACTTCCAACCAAATTATACTATATGTTGTACTATATTAGTCTTTAAAGGTAGCATGTGAAAAAGAAACATAAATGGTTGCAAATGACAAAGTTAATTATAGTGGGTCCTTTAGAGAATTTCCAAGTTTATTGGATACATGCAAAAGTTAGAGGCAGTTTTCTATAATCTTCTATCTATGACGTTCCTTGAAGAGCTACTGTATTTTGACTGAAAAGGATATCTCCATGTTATGTATATTATATGCAAATATGTAGTTTGATAGGTATGTACATATATACAATTCCAATTCCAAAACAGAATGACTATAAATGTGAGGCTCCAGAAGCCACCCAGGATCATTGTATCACAAACTATTTCACAAATGTTATTATTTACCAGAAAGGTGAATTGTCACTGAGCACTAAATAAGAACTTAAAAATATTTTATGCAACCAAAACAAAAGCTAAAAAAAGGCAGTTAAAAGGCAGGGAGGTGATACCTATCCTATTTTTACTCTTTTATTAGGGTTCATGACATTTAAAATGATTTTTCTAGAGGAAAAGTCTTTAGACTTTATCAGGATAAAGAGTTATCTATAATTTACCACGCTTACAATTTAGTGGTCACAGCACTGATCACAGTCCTGATGATCCCTGGCTCAGAACATGTAGCCATTTCCTAAGGAGTTATATAATCTCTCCTCAAATGCAACCAGGAGTCATTATGGTGAAGGATTCGGAAACAAATCTTCAGTTGTAATTTGGATTTACTATGCTATTTTTCATGGTCAGGCCAAAATCTTTCACAAACAGAAGTATTAAAGACAATTATTCTATTGTCTTTAACAATATAATAATATTAATAATGGAGGGGAAATCTCAGCATCTAAGAAACTGCTCAAAAGAATAAGAATTAGATGTCCCACTGCATTAAACAATGTACAGAACTTGTGGCAACTCCTATCAACCACAAGATGATGTGACATTTCAACTGGATTCATTTTCAAAAATAAGTTTAAGTTCTTCCTAACTGAAGAGAAACAAAACTTTGTCAACTTAACACTGCCTTTTCCCAGGTATGATGAAGAGAGCATTATTTATTCCAAAGTTTGCTTAGTTCTAATAGAAAAATGAAGACTCAAGAATTACCAAAGACCCTAAATAAAGTAGAAAGAGCATCTGACCAGGAAACTGACACTTTGAAGTCCTCTCTAAATGACAGAAGAGCTAGAAAGAGCCCATTTTTCCCCAAGAGCTGTATTCCATACAGGAGAAATACCCTTTCCCAAATTTCAATAGTTTCTGTTAAAAACAAAAAGGAGCAAGTCAAATAACCTGCCAGAGGGCTTTGCATTTTTGGATTGTCTTCTGAACTTGAGATATTTATCTATTCCACACCTGGATTCTGAACCCCGTATGGGTCACTTGTCAATACTATCGTAACATCCACATTCCCTTCCCGTTCCCTCCCAGAAGTTGATGCTACCTTTCCAGCAGATAAGAGGTCCCTTCGACAGTACACCCTGGGAGCTTCTGACTAGGTAGTACTTTAAGTGCTTCTGCTTCTTTGGCTGGGTGGTGAGCTTCAAGTTTATGTGGTTGGAAAATTCCGTGAAATACCGAAATCCTCTTTCTCCACAGCCGATACAGTTTCCAGAAAACCCTAAAAGGAAGAAAAACAAAGTTACTGGTGGCCTTGTATGTTGTTACAATACTTTCACATATAAAAAACACAGAAATATTCACTCTTTGGCTTGACAACTTCCTAATTTTGAGGAAATAATTCAAAGGAAAAAAAACATGTACAACAATTTAGCAGTTATTTTATAACAGTGAAAGACTGAAAATAATTTTTAAATGCTCTAAAAGGATAATGGTTAAGGAAATAGAATAGGTAGTATCATATGATAGAATTTATATAGTTCACATAAAAAATTCTGGTCCTAGAGATATCTGTTATTTCTTCCTTACATATTCCCTTCTTAACCTACTGGCTCTGGTTCTCCACCCGACCCACCATGTGGACTTAACTCCATAGGCACAATTGATTAGACTGTGGATCAATATTTGACCCAATCTAGGATAGTCAGATTCTCTCTCCTGGAATGCTGAAATAAATACAAAAAGAATCAGTCAGATGGTACTGGACCCTGGATATGTAAGGTTTTGTAAAACTGGAACCCAAGTCAGGGCTATGCCATCTAGGGTGTGGGAGAGAGCAAACTGAGAATTGTGAAGAGGAAGCTGGTCTCCAGATAGGAGAGCACGAACAGAGATGTATAAACTCAGGGCATTGTCAGCTGCCTAGTTTCTATGAGATCTAGGGAACACAAGTTCCCTAAGGGTCCCATTTCCTCTCTGTTCAACCCCTCTTTATTGAAACTAGCTCATTATTCCTTAGACTTAACATCCAAACAATTCTCACTCAGATTAATCAAACAAAATAAGACTTTCAGTGATCTTCTTGGAACAGAGGACATGGCAAGAAGAAGAAATGGAGAAGGCTGGGAGGATGAGAGGTCATGCTTTGCTTGACTGGAAGTCAACTTTTCAATCTCCCTTATTACACAGAAGAAAAGTGGACAGTAAGAGAGTGAGTTCTTCCGGTTGTGAGTTATGAGGACATAACATATGTATGGCCATATTGGCAAATAAGGACATTCCAAATTTCATAAACACAATATCTCTATATACAAATAACTAAATGAAAATAAATTCACTTATGGAATAATACACTCTTTTAAAACCACCAAACCAACCTGTTTTATAATTAACAAAGATACATAAGGAGAGTAGAGAAAGACCATGAGGATTAAAGACAAAATATCTCACAATGTCCCAATCTCAGGATGCTGACAATCAATTCAGAACATTTAGAAATGGGCATTCCAATTTATTATTATTTATTCAATAATTTTTTATTGAGTACCTACCTATATGCCAAGCATTTTGCTAAACACTGGAAAAACAGTGGTGAACAAGAGATGGTCCCAACTTCTGGTCAGTTACATAAAATTAGTAATTCTATATAATCAGCTTATTACCATCATTTTATAGAAATATAAACATCAATATAATTTCATAAATTATTTAAAACATATTCAGAGATGGATTGCATTTGAGAGCATTTGGCTATTTGTCTAATACCTTGGAGCTGTAAGCCAAAAAAAGAAAGATGTCAATAACTGCCTAGTTTACCAAATTTCTAAAGCCAACCATCCATCTAACCATTCATCCACCCATCCCCCCGTCCACGCATCCATGAATGCATGCATCCATCCACTAATCCATGCATCTATCCACCTGTCCATCCATCCACCCAACAAATATCTGTACTCTACTATGTGCTAGGCACTATTTCAGGTGCCAGATTTTTAGCACTGAACAAGGAAGACAAAACCACTGCCTCCACAGAACTTACTTTCTGATGTGATCATTATGCCTTGATAGAAAATTGGCTGACCTATGAGGCAGATGCAACATACCCAAAACACAATAAAACTAAGAACCTTCATCTGAAATAGAGACAGTGCCAAAAAATGAGGCTTATCTGATAGGTCCAAGTAGTTCATCAAAGATTAATGTGAGAATTAGAATTAACAAATTACTGGGGTTAGATTTTATCTTTTATCTTTTCCTCTACCTGTTTTCTGAGGTGAAAAGCAAGACTTGAGTATGAAGAGGGAGAAAAGCAATGGATCTGGATAATCTTCAAAGAAGAGAAACTTCACAGTAATGATGAGAATTAACAATATAAAAGAGTAAGAACTTTAGAGTCCATTTTTAAAACTGTATAGTTTCTGTATTAACTTTGGTTCAAGAGAGATTTTATCTGCTCAGAGTTCTTGCTGTCACTATCACAATAAATAATATCTCTTACAGCCAAATTACCTTTCTAGTTTTTCTAGCAATCAGGTCTTCGAATTGCATGGCAGATTTGGGGCATATATGTGGCCAAGTGATCAATTTATTTTAAAATCAATTCCCCCACAGTCTTTGGAATCTGCGTAATTTATATAAAAATTTAGACAAATTGATATTGGAGTCCACAGGGATTCTAGAATATTTTAAGCTTAAACAATTTTCCCCCTATATCTTTTTAAAATTTTATTTGTTTTTTTTTTTTGGCCACACCGTGCAGCTTGTCAGATCTTAGTTCCCCAACCAGGGATCGAACCCAGCCCCTCTTCAGTGAAAGCACAGAGTCCTAACCACTGGACCACCAGGGAATTCCCTCCACTATATCTTTTTTTTTTTTCACTATATCTTAATGCGTACTAAAATCAACATCATAAGTAAGAACTGTTAGATGAATATTAACTTTTTGACAATAGAGTAATGAACATATAAAAATCTCATTGTGCTTGTTCAAGAGAAAACGTTTACCATTTTACTGTACTACACTTTCACTTGGAGAAGTGGTTAATAAAAAATTATGAACAAAGTTCCATGTCTATAAGGGTATTTAATAAATATGACAGAATGGCAGAATAATTACCATTTAAAGAGCAAGTACTATATGCCAGGCACTGTGCTATTGGGTACCTTATAAACATCATCTGTTTGATCTTTATAATCCTGCCAGGTGGGCATTATTGCCTCCTTTATATAGATGAGGAATCTGAGACTTCAAGAAGATAAGTAGCTTGCCCAAGTTCTTAAAGTGCTAACTAGAAAATCTGGGATTTAAACCCAGTTCCAATTCCAAAGCCCATGCTCTTTGGTTTCATATTCCCAATTACAAAGGATTATAAAATCTATTATTCTGACGGTGTTTTCTGTGTGAGTCCCATGATGTATTCTAAGAGGATTCCTCTAGTCATGAAGAATCATTGAGCAAAAAGACATTATAAGAGATTTTTCTATGTCTTCAGTCAGAGCCACATATGAACTGTTCCATTCGATAAAACTTTGATGCTTTTAAAGTGCTTAAAAGAAGTTTCCCAAAGTTGTTCTACCAGAGCCAACTAGGTTCTTAGCTCTGTGATGCAAAAGACTGTGTCTTATCATTAGTGTGCCCACATATCATAACCTAACGTGATTTTGGGAACAAATACTGTTGAATGAATGAATGAACAAACGAATCCTTGGATCTTCTTTGCTAATTTAGTCCAATGTATAAACTTTACCGTCAGGTGTCTATATTAAACCATCTGCTCAATTTCACTGAAAGAAAAAAAATGGCTATTTTAACAAATGAGAGCCTATGAAAATGAAAATTACCACTTCTTTTCCTATGAACCAAGAGAAGGCTTTGAACTGTAGTTTAAGGAACGTTTATTAACCATGTGGAGGATCACTTTCTGACTCAAGATATTGATCTATGTATTTCTAGACTTTCTGATGATGCTTTATAACTAGGAAGAATGCGTCAAGCTAAACAAACACACAGCTCACTGTAAATACAATTCTTGAATTCTTTGCCCTCTTTTTTCTTCTTCGTTTTTACTGATGTTCGTGCTGAGGACATGTATCTGATTCTATCTACAGGAACAAATTCTGAGAAACAAAAGCAACTCCAGAGAAACACAGCAGCAAAAAAAAGTAACAAACCTCACATGCCCTCTTCTTTCTTTCTTTTTCTTTCTTTCTTTCCTCCCTCCCTCCCTTCCTTCCTTCCTTTCTTTCTTTTTCTTTAGGCCACGCCACATGGCAGGCATGCGGGATTTTAGTTCCCCAACCAGGGATCGAACCTGTGCCCCCTGCAGTGGAAGTGAAGAATCTTGACCACTGGGCTGCCAGGGAAGTCCTTACATGCCCTCTTATTTGCCTTTTTAATTATTAAAAGTTAATTTAAGGGGTTTGAATCAAGATAGCAGAGTAAGAGGATGTGGAGCTCACCTCCCCCATGAACACATCAAAAATACATCTACATGTGGAACAATTATCACTGAAAATGAACTGGAAACTGGCAGGACTCCTGTACAACCAAGGCTGTAGTGATCAGGTCGAGACCTGTGCCCCTAGAAGAAGACTCAGAGAAAAATAGAGATTATGTGGGTGGACACCCACCCTGCGGAGTGAGTGGTCTGAGCCACAGATTGAGTGCCCCAGTCCTGGGGTTTTACGTGGAGGAGACAATCCCACTTGGCTGGTTGGAGGGCCACTGAGACAAACAGGAGGGCTGAGGGAAGCCTAGACTACGCTCATGAGGCGTGTGCACGCTGGCTTGCCCCCAAGCAAGGTGGAGAGAGGTCTGCTCTAGCAGCTGCCGGGTTTCTCACAACCTCCTTGCCAGGTACCCCAGTCCAAGCTGAGTGAAAGCTCTGGTGCTGCTCACTCCATGCCACAGTGTGGGATATAGAGGTGACCTGGTGCCACAGTGGCGTCTGAGTGGGTGGGTAGCAGCCATCACTTACTGAAGCAGCACGTCAGAAGCGTTCCAGATCTCTGACGCAGCTGTTCCACCATAGCCCATCCCCTGATACACACTGAGACTCCATGTGGGTCCCACTTGCACTGCAGAACCTGGGGGCAGTGATCGGCCGTGAGGGACAAAGGGGACTTGCCCCAGAAGCTGCATTTGAGTGGAGCTGCAGGTAACTACACAGGCAGTGCATCAGACCTCTGTCTGTGGTCGACATGAGCCAAGAGGCTGCACAGGCCCCACTTGCTTCAGCCCTCCACCCCTCTGGGGCAAGGGTCCCCACACAGGGAAAGAAA